GATCTGCAGTACATTTTCTACAAAAAAATCTAGTTATGATTTGAAGAGTAGAAGTGATGAGAATCCAGCATGTTCTCAGGTAAATTGTTCCTACATTTAACTATCCCCAGGATAAAATTGTGATCCCCATTCCTTGCACAAATTTGATTTCATTATGACTTTTTTTGGCATTAGAATTATGAGCTGTCAACTATTAGAAATCATTTCCCTGTACAGGTATTTCTAGATTAAGTCAGTAGAAAATAGAGGTAAATATGCTCTGTGGTTTCAAGGCAATTAAAACAGATTGAATTAAACAGAGGAGTGGGATTCTCATTCTGTAATTATGAAACACTGAAATGTCGTATAAAGAAAGCTGAATAATGTCTCTATGGATAGACACCGCAGCTTCTAGCCTTGATTCACTCAATGTCATGAATTACTCATGTAATTTAAAATAGGACTGTCTTCAACTTAAGTGTGCAGTGTTTAAAAATCTAAAAAGCAGTTGGTGATGAAACTCACAGTTACTATTCTAGACTGAGTGGGAAGCACTGTCTTACCACAGAGGTGGGTCATACGGCAGAAGTAACCGGATGACTTCTGACCTTACATGAAAATGAGGGCAAAACTACACCATTAAAGCTTCTTTTCCTTTTTTTTCCTGCTCTCTGGCAGACTACAACTTGTCTGGTTCCAGATAGATTGCCCTGACATGCTTTTTATCAAAGTGTAAAATAATAATTTCTCTGCTAAACTGAAGATGGGTTTCTGGCATTTATGCTACCTAAGATGAAACCATTTATTTCTAAGTCCTGTTCATCAAAACCATTACTGCTCTGGTCTTGTTCAGTTTGTCTTACTCATTCTCAGGGGGCAAGAAAACCCTTTCTGTTCCCACATTTAATCTGTACAGGACTGATAATAAAACCAGCCAGGCCAAATGCTATAACTTCTCCTTTTCACGAATACGAGAAAGAAATGACTGTCCCTAATCAGGAAAAAACCCCATTTGTCTGAGGAAGGAGAGATGGGAGAAAACAGCTCCAAACTATCAGTACAGAAAAAGAAGGACAAAGCAGACAATAATTAGGGCAGAAGGGAGACAGAAGACAGCAAACAAAGCACGAAAACAGCTGTAGTGCCAAGCCCTAGGATTAGCGTGACAGGAGTGCTTACCAGCAGCTCCTATAAGAGGGGGTGAAACAACTAATCAACTGTTGGGGTGGAAACATGCAACAAAATTCCTTCCATGAACCACAGAGCAGGGAGGAAAACTTACAGCAACACTGTAACACATCAGACAGAAGTGACAAGGAAACAACTATGCTCGAAGGAATGCAACAGAAATCGCCTGGATGCTTCATCATCTGCAGAAATGCAATTTAAATAAAGTAACACCTACTAGGAAATGTGAGTATTTTAAGGTTCAGCTGCAAGCTATGTAAAAATGTTGTGAGATTTTGAAATACAATAGTAGACTTGAAACCATATGTTTATGTCCAAATCCAATACTGCAGTTTGCTCACAATTAGATGCATGTCAATCAGAGGCAACAACATGGACTTCAAAGGAGTTACATCTGATTGATGCTGGCATAAATATGGGAATAATCTGGTCTGTGTCAGTAGGGTCTGCAATCATCATCAGATCCTCATTAATTGCTTTGCATGATTATTCACAAATAATAGAAATCCCTGCCAGAGTTTTTTAATGGTTGTCAACAATACTAAGGATGTGCATAATGACTAATACACACAGATGGGAAATGCAGCTGATTTCAGCTCTTAAATGTCTGCTGTACAGATTTAACAGAAGTGACCCTAAGTGACTGAACCACTTCCAAAAGAGAAAAATGTCTTCAAAATCTAATTGAAGTTGCTGGAATACTATAACATATACCAGCAACAACATGGATATAATTATTACCCAATCAGAGCTGGAAAGACATAAATGCTGGGACTAAACTCCACCAAAATATTGTTCAGCCAATGTACATTTGGATAAACCTCTTTGATTTCCCCATTTGGTTTTTTTAATTAACAGTGCAAATATCTAAGGTCATGTGGACAAACTATCTTTTGTACTCAAAAGGCATCAACAATTTAGGTGTTAGTATATCTCCAGATACTTTTTTCTCTTTTACCTAGGTCTGACTAGCAGTTGAATGGAAGATATTTCTTCTTTCCACCCTTCCATCATAAATGCTATAACTTCTTCTGTAAGATACTGGGCCACATGACCATTCTTTTCCTTTTCAAGGTTCATGTAGCACCAGGTAGAGGAGACAAGAGTCACAGTATGGCATATACTAACTGTACATAAGCAGAATATATCTTACAGTTTACAGTATGAATTTAGCAATTCACAGATCCAACAACTGACATATTAGTAATAGATGACAGACTCACATGAAGTCCTTTCTATACTATTGCTCTCCATTTTTAAGTTTTGCAGATCTTGCCACAACGATGTGAAAGATAGCTAAATTCTTCCTACTCAGATACATTGTTTTCTGAAAGAAACACAATTATTTGAATAGTAAACTTGGATATTTGTAATATCTTCCACTATTAGCAATACATATTACATGATTATATATCACTTGATAGTTATGATGTTTTCCAGGTACTAAACTTTTTCAAACATCCATGTGCTGCCTTCGGTTGAAGCTGGAAGCAACCTCAACGTTTGACATTTATACTCCTTGTTCATTGTAAAGATGGCTTTTCTATAATTTGTTAAAATTCTCACCCCTTTTAGAAACTTAAATAGTGCCTTGTTTCCCTGGCATACACCAGGATATGTTCAAACTTGTTTGATCACATGATCAATCACTCAAAATTTGAGCATTTTTTCAGCAGTCTCTAAGGATAAAGGTCATGTTAAAGAGTAAGTGGATGGTCTCCTCAATTAGCAGGATGAAGCCTTTAATTTTGCACAATCTTAATGATTAAGAAATTCTACATCAACATGGAAAAAATACATAATGAAACAATAGTCTGTCGCTCTATTGGGAACGGCGAGATGAACGACACAGACTCTCTCAGGAGTCAATCAGGAGAATTTCTCCCGGTTTATTGCTTCAGATCTTTTTTATAGACCGATACGTGAAAAGTACAGAAAAGAAACTCTTATTGGTTAGTAAACTAACACATCACCATCATTGGTCAGTGGGGCTTACCACCCCTTGACCTTCTCCTGCAAGAAAACAAGGAACAGACAAACAGCACCTGCAAGGCTGTTTTCTGTCTCTGAGGATTGTTTTAAATCCTCCTCATGAATTCTCAGGCCGCTTTCTCAGGCAAGACTGAGAAAGCTATGTGGCCTGCAATTTCCACATGCTCTCTGTTTCAGAGTTAGCATCTACAATAGTCCTCACTGAAAGAACTGTGGTCATTATAGGGATATTCAGGAATGGCTTGGAACTCAGACAGAAAAAATATCTAATCATAAGAGTTACTCATATTTTTTGTTAAATATGAAATCTCATATTCCTGTATTTAAACTAGGTCCTGCCCACACAGGGTTACATATGAGCCCTCTCATTTTAAAGAGGTGATGCAATTTATACATCATTCTAATTTCTAGCCCTTTTCTTTAAGGCATGGTTTTGAGTTAGGTTCTTGGAGAAAAGAAAAAATGTTAACCAGTACTGTTGGTCTTACAGATAATATCAAAACAGGCAGGGAAGTACAATTCAAAGCTTGTAACATGTTGGAGGCTGCATGAAAGGGCCTGATGAAGAGGCATGCACAGGGGTAAGATCTGAAGCACGGACAAAAGTGAAAGTATTGATCTGGAGACAACTAAAAGGAAGCAAAGATGGGTGTACAGAGAAGAAATGGAGGCTGCAAAAGTAGACCAAGAAGATTCACATAGATGATGGAAGGAATGTGAGGTGGTCAATTTGGTGTGAAGAACATTAGAAAGAATGCTTTTATAAAACCTGACAAAGAAAATACGTGCATATGAAAGATCATAATTTCAATAAAATAGTGTAACAAAGGTAGGAGCAAGAGTGTTTAGAAGAAAAGACCTTGCAAAAAAGTAATTTAAAGTAAGACTGAGAGCCTGGTTGGATGGGCAGTTGAAAGGGATTTTGAGAGACAGAGTGGAACATGTAATATCTGCAGGTCTATGAATTCCTTGTACCTTTCTGGGCAGCTGCTGGGGTAGAATTTGAGGATTTCAGATACTTGTGAAGGGAGCCTTGAAGAAAGATTGAGAGTTTTACAAGGGCATATAGTGACAGGACAAGGGGGAACTGTTTCAAACGGTAAGACTCGGTTAAGATTGGATATTAGGTAAAGAACTCTTTACTGCAAGAATGGTGAGGCGTTGGAACAGGTGGCCCAGAGAAGCTGCGGATGGCCCACCCTGGGAAGTGTTCGAGGCCAGGTGGGATGGGCTCCGAACAACCTCGCCTAGTGAAAGGTGTCCCTGCCGCTGGCAAGGCAGCTGGAACTAGATCATCTCTAAGGTCCCTTCCAACACAAATCAGTCTAGGATTTGTCGATTCTGCCATGGTGACACGACAACCCCTGCAGTGAAAGAAAAGTTTTAAGGGGAGAGGTGAAGCCTTTGGTTTCAGCTGCGACTGTGACAGCACCGAGCGTGCGGCGACGCCCCCTGTGGCCGTGCCTATGACTGCGGCCATGGCTGCGCCTGTGCCTACGGCTGTGGCCATGGCTTGTGGCCGTGCCTACGACGGTACCTCTGGCTGTCCCGGTGGTTGCGCCCGCGGCTGTCCCTGTCCCCGTCCCTGTGGCCGTGAGGGCGCGGCGGACCAGCGCGCTCCCGCTCGCTGCCGCGCGCCGCGCGCGTTCCCGTGCCCCGCCCCCCAGGCCGCGCCCTCCGCGCGCACGCAGCAAAACTCCCTCCCCGCTCTCCCACTCCTCCACCCACCGCGGAGCCACCGCTGATTGGCCCGTGTCCCGGCGGCGCTGGCCAATGGGAGGCCGGCCCGGGACCCCGCCTCTTTAGAACCTGCTGGCGGCGTAGGGCCCGGCATCGCGGCGATGGCGGCGGCGGGGCGGGCGCTGCGCGCCGCGCTCCCCGCCGGGCTCTGGGGCCGCCTAGCCCCGCTGCCGGGCGCGCCCCGCCGGGCCGCCGCGCACTTCGCTTTCCAGCCGGACCCGGCGCCCAGCGAGTACGGTGAGAGCGCGGCTGGGCCGGGGTCCATCCCGCAGGCCGGCCTCAATCTCGCTCTGCCGCCGGGTCCGCCCTATTGCCCCCGCCTTCTTGGCGCCAGCAGCCTCGTCCGGGATGGGAGGGAGGCAGGCAGGAGCCGCCGAGCGCCCGTTGTGCGCTGCGAGTCGGACCCCGGGCGGCGGAGGCATGCGCACGGCCGCGTGACCCCGCTGTGTCCTCGGCACTTCCACACGGGGGTTGTCCCCTAGAAATCCTGCACTGTGGGTGGGAAGGGCCCTGTGGGCCGCTGGCGGGGCCGGGGCTGCCGCAGGCCCCTCGACGGTAGGGTGGTGAAGTGTTTTGGGCTGTCAGAGCCAGAGGTGCGGCAGATGGGCCCGTCGCGTGCTCAGACCCGCAAGCCCATCCTCGGCCTCTGCCCTGTACCAAAAGCTTCTAGCAGTAACTTGCTGACTTCACATTTATCCTGGTTTTTGTATTGCATGCTTAGGTCACGCATGTGATAATAAACCTGTCACGAATAAAGACTGCTGTCCCCTGAGAGGTTCGAGGTCATCCTCGTGGTCACGTGTTTGAGAGTAAACACAGATAACTTGGAAATGAACAGCGCATGGCGATTGACTTTTATTTCTGAAACGCGTTCCTGCAGATGGCTAGTGCCGAGTTCTCCTGGAAGAAGCCTGCCAGCTGCAGAACAGCTGTTTCTATCACGTGAACCGCACTATGCTCTAGAAAACTTGTTACTTGGTTGGATACCTTGGTGTTGCATCTTTGTGACAAACAGAAGCAGAGTTTTCTCTACCTTTTCTGTTAGTGATAAAGATGTACAGGCGTCCAAGATGCCTTCACAAGGTGAAGCTTGTCTATGGCATGTCCCTGCTTGAGATCATGTGAAGAAACTCTGGTGTGGCATGCTAGTTATTGCTATTTAATTAACAGAAAACGAATTCCCTATTAAATACGCAGAATTAGAAATTCTGTGAAAAGTAGTGGAAGTGAAATAAAATTATGGCAATACTGATCTTGATATTGTTGAGATACTGGTTTTCCAACTTTACAGTTCAGATCTAAAAGGCATAATTAGTTCCACCTTTCCTCTGTGGGGCTGATAGAAAGGCCTCTGTTATAAGGAAGAGAAGCAGGTTAGAACTATCATGGTGAGGAATTTGTGATGGTAGCTTAAGTAATAACCATTTATTTATATCAAATACTGGAAGGATGTTATCTTGTAGAGAAGATAACCTACGTACTAATGTGAATGACTAGGGAAAGAGAGAAACAGCTGCTGCTCCTCTGCTTTTGTTCTCTTCAGTTTGTAAATTTTGTTCATTAGGGCTTTTGTATAACTTGAACAATTCCCATATTTTTTTTTTTTTTATATTTTCCTATCCTTAAAGGGCTATGTAAGGTATAACAAGTGAAGTTACCAAGCACAGGAATGTGTAGGAATGCAGCTACTCAGCTAATCAAGTGTGGCGTAACATGAGTCTTTAATGAAAGATACTAACATTAATTAGCTATTTAGAAGAAAGGGAAGCTGAACATTTGTTGAGCGGTACTGTAACTACTGGAAAAAGAATGTAGTTCTCCTTTCTGAATTCTAACACCTGTTTGTATGGGATCTTCATTTAACCATCTTATTAATTTATTTAATTTTACACACTGTATGTATTGGTAGGTAGCATTCTCCTGGACTGTAGCTTCTAGTCATGACTTAAGAGGTTTTGCCAGTTAAAGAGTTACCAAATGTAAGCCAAGCAATTTCTTACTTGGTTTCTTTTAAGAGTTATTTTATTTGCTTGGAGAATCTGAATTGGTCACAGTAGTGAGGACTAGGGTTTTGTTTTGGCCCATCTTTGCTTTCAGGCCTCCTTATTTTTCCCTGCAGTGCTGGAATGAAGAAGGGAACTCCGGTAGCCTTGGTTTGAATTAAACAGCTTGCTTTACTTCAGCACCAAGTTTATTTCTTTGAAGTATGGACTTGATGCTTCAGGCACTTAATAAAGTGTCTGTTCAGTGGCAGTGCAGAGGGCAGGCCAGTGGTGTAGAAAATGTCTGGTAATCATAGATGTCTGTAAGTGGGAAAGGCTGAGCTTAAAAAAATGTGATTTAAGAATGATAAAGTAAGCTTGACTGAATTTTAGCAGAAGGGTCGGGGGATCCCAGTCCTCAAAACAATAATGCATTGGTTTCTGCCTTTAAAAAGGAAGGCATTGTTCCCAGTGTTTGACTGAGCATTGCAAAGCTGCATTTGCTCTAGGCAAGAGCATAGGTTTTTGAAAAAAAATAATTGGAAGTAGAATTATTGTCCTTGGGAAGGCCAAGTATACAATGCTCATCCATCCCATAATTTAAGTTTATTCAGTAAATTAATCTTGGGTATTCCTAACAGGGATCTTGTTTTTGGTGGTTAAGTTTTTGAGTTTTTAGACACGTTTTGCACCAGTGTTTCCTAATGTACTTTGTGTTTTGAACCAAATTAAATTGCGGAATCATTTCTTTCACACAGGGCAAACTCAGAAGATGAATCTCTTCCAATCCATAACAAGTGCCTTGGACAATGCTTTAGCCAAAGATCCAACTGCAGGTACCTTATACTTGTTGGTGTGTTTTGTTTTATATAAATTGTGGTTTGAATTGCCTATCTGTGTACAATATTTAATATATTTCTCATGGTCTTTAAAGTTTCCTAATAAGTTATTTCTACAATTTGATCTCAAATCTTAAAAATGTGTTGCTTTAGCGGATTACTAATGGATTATATGGTCTAAGAAGCGGTTGTATCTTCTGTATTATCTCTGTGTATTTCACTTGAAAGTGATTACAGAAGATACATTATTTAATATCCTTAAAGTATAACTGATGAGAACTGTCCTTGAGGGCAGCTTGAGTCCCACTAGTAGGAGTTTTAAAAATATAAGCATTACTTTTAAATTTCTTAAACTTTCTGTTCCATAAAACTGTTATTTCTTTTAGAGACCATATATTCCTCACTCTATACATTCTGCTTTCTTCCCTGCCCTCCAAAATTCATTTATAGCTTTATTGATTTCTGTCCATTATTGTGCATAGGCAGTGTTAGATTTGCTAGACTTCTGCAGTCTGGATAACCCATAACTTGGAAGATGCTACTTCATTATGGCGAGATATAAAAGGCTTATCCTGAACTATTGCACAAAACTATTTACTCCACTTTTAATTCTTATACATAACAAGAGGTCTTTTGCTTCTGTTGTCCAAACAAAGGCATGATGGCCAGATATCTGAGAGATGCTTCCCATGAACACAGCTTCAAAGGCTGCATCATCTTGTAATTTTGGGTTTTCTTTTTAGTATGTTAGTAGCCCTTTTTGGCACTGCTTGGATCACTGCTTAACCTAAAGTCTGACTAATTGTCTAATCTTTTGGGACAAATTCCATGTTGTCTGTTCAGTACTATGCCTGTACACATTCCCTCTCAATCTCAGCTGTTTTATATGCACCTTGATTAGATTAAACTTAGACAATTGAGGGTAAATTAGGGCCAAGAACAGATTTCATTACCATTTTTCTAGGATCAACCATATGAAAGCAAGTAGAATGTTAGTCCAGCCAGAAGGAACCTACCCTTTTATATATAGTCTTGCGCCTTTAGAGAACTAAGGTTCCAGTCTTGCTCCTCAACTTTGCAGGGCTTAGTCTTTGTAGAGCCCTTTGCAGGACCATGTTGGAGTTCTACAGTCCAGATGTGAGTTCTCAGAATCACTGCACTTACTGAATTAATTAGGACTTTTTGCAATAGAAAACATGTCCTTCATATGTTTTTAGTTGTATGGGAATTGAGCAAATAAGTGTGGAAATCATCATACTTACGTTGATGAGAATTAGAATCTCTCCAGGAAAATATATTTCAGTGGCTGAACTGAATGAGTAAATCCATTCAAGTTTGTGTATACCAGGATTAAATGGGAATACTTTATGTAGATGCCAGCTGGCTCAAAAGTAAAGAGCCATATGATAACAGAAAGGACTTAAAATGATTTTAAGTACATAAAATCCCACCCAAATTATTGTTAAGAATTAGAGAAGTGATCTAGGGACATAGTTCAGTCATACACTCCATGAGTACATTATTTTTACATCTTTATAGAAGCTGTATTTCTTTAAGAGGTGTCATGGATGTGATTAGCACAAGTATGCTAATCCCTTTTTGTGATTTCAATCAGAAATTTATTTTATTTAAGATTAGTATTTGAAAGGCAAGAAGGTTAACTTTTTATTTTGTGTCCTTTAGAATATGGAGAATATTGAAGAATTGGGGAATAATCAGAACTGATCCTGGTTCATACAAGCGTCTATTGGTGATATTGCTGCACATCTTACATGCTTAAAAATTGAAATGGGAAATACTTGTTTCTATGAAACAGATAACTGTTTTAAGAAAAATTAGACATAACCATTCCCTAAATGCAAAGAAAGAAGCCTGAACAGATTAGTAGATATAAAGCTAATTTTATGAGGCAAATACTTTTAGTGATAAAACTTTATTCACTGCAAGAATAGTAGTGTTAAATACTGAGAACTGTCCTAGTTATTAAATAGTCATCTTTTCTGTAAAGGAGTTCCTTTGAAGTCACTCTTCAGGGGTCTGGAAAGTATCTTTGGAGAAGGCTTGACATTTCATATTAGATTGATATTTTGGAAAAAACTTCAATGTGATGTTTTTTAAAACATCTATATTTATTGAAAACTGTGGATGAAGAATGCAAATGGTTATGAATGAAGCAGAAGGCTTAATTTCAGTGACTCGTTAGTGACTGAATGTAAGTGCTTTTTGGAATTTTACTCAGTTTTAGGCACTGTGTTATTATAGGATATTTCAAAAAAAAAGATAGCTAATGAAAGCCTAACAGAATCAGTTTCATTAATTCTGTTTTGAGACATGAATTCTGTTTTGTGTTGGTGGTCTCATTTCTCATTAATCTTGGTTCTTCATTTGTTATAGTCAGGCTGTGCATGAGAAATATTTAGATCTAGATAAATCTTGAAGTTTAAATGAAATACTAGGAGTTGCTTTTGTTAGTCTCATATAAAAGCCTTTGAAATATGATTGTTTAAAGGTGTAAGATGTGTTGGAGTAATGTTAGCCTCCCCTGTTCTTATTTTCAGTTGTATTTGGTGAAGACGTGGCCTTTGGTGGAGTCTTCAGATGTACAGTTGGGTTGCGAGACAAGTATGGTAAGTTAATTTATAAATCTGACATCAGATTCATATTAACATCTCTGCTTTTTTTTTTTTTTTTACTTATTTTGCTGTGAGAAGAACTGTTACTGGAATGCTAAAAACCCGTAAAATCAATGTTTCATGTATGGCAGGCTGATTAGTGTGGAGCATTTTACAGGTCTTGGAAGCTGGTTGTGGAGACAGTAATGTGATGCAACTTTTAATTTGGCAGTTGCTACTCCCCCACTGCAGTCACTACTTCCCACTGGGCTATTAGGGAGAAGAAGAGGTTAGAAGATACCTAGTTTCAGCAGCTTACTTTCCTCAAGGTACAGAGATGACCTGGACCTTTAACTGCAAGTGATTAAATCTATTTAATGGTAACAAAGATGTGTTACAGCCATCTTGAGGAACAAAGATCCACCTTTTTGTGAGTAAACCAAAAAAGGGAGAGGATAAAGACTAAACTTCTAAGAAGTTTCAGAAACACAACCATATTTTGCAGTCTTGCTTCTCTGCTTCAATTATTTTGTGGATGTTCTCTTGCTCTCTAGTTTACATGTGAATGTTTAAATAATTTGGATAGAACTTCTGTTAGCCATGATCTTTAGTGCTGCTTGTTGAGACTGAGTTACAGTTCTGTAACTGGTGTGATATATTGACTGTATGTATGAGACTCCATATGAAAACCAGGCCTCTGACACTGCAACCAGTTGCTGGAAACATAGGCAACAGAAGATGTTGTTTGGGAAATAAGTAATAGCAGCAGATGGTTGCATAAGCAACCTTCTTGGGTTTTAGTGAGCATCTCGATTTTAAAAGACAGAAGAGACGAACTTTATATTGTTAGGTGGTGCTTTGAGGGTCATTTGATTTTTTTTTTTTTTTTTTTTTATGTAAGACAGTCATATACTATTGGAACAAAGGAAAGAGATTATTTAATCTTTGTAGTAGCATTTTATTGGTAGTGTATTCCAACATGCCAGTGCTGGTCAAAGACTCTGTGACAGCCCTGACAGAGCACAGGGGGTCTGTTGAGGGAGTGCAAAGCACTGTTTACACTAACTGTGCAAATCAGGATGATAACCAGCAATCACAACACATTAGCAGCCTAGCTAGAATCAGGTTTATTTCATGGGTATGATAATGAAGATTTTTCATGAGATTTTTGAGGAAGCTATGATGTGACTTCAGGAATATTTAGAAAGAACTCCTTTAAAGCATGAGAGGGAACATGAGAATTGGGGAAGTACTTATATGAACATTAAACAAGAACTAATGAAACTAGTACTGCCATTTACTCAGAAAGAGTACTGACTTCTTCAGGGTAAAAAAGAGGATAGATTTTATGAGGAAAAACTTAAGTGTTTCAGGTAATTGTCAAGTAAAATGGGTAGGTATATAAATTGCTAATAAGATGAGATTAACAAGGTAGGAAGGTGTCTCTTCACTTTAATTCAGGCCATTGCAAAGATTATACTTGTTAAAGTGTGTCAGCTAGAAGAGAAGGAAAAATTTGAAAAACTTTTTGCTGTTTTCCTACAGTAATAAAAAGTTTGTTTTACAGCTTCTGGTGTTTAGGTCTAGGTGACAAGTGAACGAAAGGTGTTGATTGAGAGAGAAGGAGGTGGAGAAGGCATGACTTGATGTGGTGGTTTGACCCTGGCTGGAGTCCAGTACCCACCAAAGCTGCTTTATCACTCCCCTCAAGTGGATGTGGGAGAGAAAATGTAATGAGGGGCTCATGAGTTGATAAAAGGATATGGAGAGGTCACAAACTGATTACTGCCATGGGCAAAACAGACTTACAGAAATCCATTGAATTTATTACTGATCAAAATAAGAGTAGGATAATGAGAAATAAAACACATCTTAAAAACACGTTCCCTCCTACCCCTCCCTCCTTTCTGGGCTTAACTTTACTCTTGTTTCTCTGCCTCCTCCTCCTCGCCAGTGGCACAGGGAGACTGAGAATTGGAGCTATGGTCAGTTTGTCACTTGTTGTCTCTACCACTGCTTTTTCCTCATGGAGAGGGAGTACTTTCCCTGCTGCAATGTGGAGTCCCTCCCATGGGAGGCAGTTCTCCATAAACTTCTCCAGCATGATTCCTTCCCTTGGGCTGCAGTTTTTCATGAGCTGCTCCAGTGTGGGCCCTTTCCACAAGGTGCAGTCCTTCAGGAACAGGCTGCTCCAGCATGGGTCCCACATGAGGTCACAAAATCTGCCAGCAGAGCTACTCCAGTATGAGCTCTTCTCTCCACAGGGCCACAGGTCCTGCCATGAGCCTGCTCCAGTGCAGGCTTCCCATTGGATTACAACCTCATTTTTTTTGGTCATCTACCTCCTGCTCTCACATGGTTCCTTCAGGGGCTGCAGGTGGATCTCTGCGACCTCCGTGGGTATAGGGTCACGGGTACTTCACCATGGGCTGCACCAGCCTGTGCCTGTGGTTTTTTTTTTTTTTTTTTTGTTTTTTTTTTTTTTTTTTTTTTTTCTTTTGTTTCCTTCTTACTCCCAGTGCAGTGTAGCATTATTGATGGGCTTGTCCTGGGCCAGAGGTGGTTCTGTCCTGAAGCCCACTGACATTAGCTCTGTTGGACATAGGGGAGGTTTCTGTCAGCTTCTCACAGAAACCACCCCTTTAGCTCCTTCCCCTTCTATCAAAACCTGGCCATACAAACCCAATACACAGGAAAAATAAAAGTTCTTTGTGACGCTGCTGAGGTGCCCATAATTAAATGAAAGACAATATCTGAAATACAAGTTTGAACAGAAAGAGTGTGTGAAGATAATGTCCTGAATTTAGGATTCACTTACAGAATGGAAATTGAATTTTGTAAGGCAGATAAGAGGACATGGGTAACTCAGCTTCTTTCTTCACTGATAGTGAAATTCAGTAGGAGACATGTGCCTGCCTATCAGTGTGGTCTCAGAGATTAAATAAATTCTAGAGGGAATGCTTGTTTTATGAAAAGGCTAGACTGGGTAAAATAAGGAGAATTTCAAGATGGAAGTGACCAACCAACCTGATGAATCTTATGAGGAAGATTACATACACTTACTGACTCTTTTCCCATTCCTCTCATAAATTTACTGTCAAATTATAATAGGGGATTCAAGTAATACAATATGAAGTTGTTTCTATATGTTGATATAAAGTATGAAGGAATGAATGGGTTTTTTTTTCTCCTATCCTGGAAGAGAGAGGCTGATTTTTGTTTCATTTGTTTAATTTCTTTTTCCTTGTAGATAATTAAAATCACTAGGTGGCAGTCTATGCCTGTAAGTTGTTCCTTTGATACAATTTGATAGTTCATTTTTGAGCACTTTTATAGAGGTCAAGGTCTAAATATCATCTAATATTATAGTAGGAAGAATTTAATATATTAATACTCAATAGTAGTATTATAGAGATGTTGGTTGCTGTCCAGAATGTTACTGAACTCTCTCTGGAGAGGCAGAAAAGAAGTTTGCTTTTAGAATAAAATGGTCATTAAATATAAAAGCTGCTTCTTCTTTTTTTTTTTTTCTCCCAGTGCAGTGTTATGTTGTATAAACACAGCCAGAGGCATGTACTAGTAAGTGAAGGAAAGCTCATCGACTTTTTAAGGAAATAAATACAGCCTTTTGATTAGATGAATTTTTAACATGCTACCAGGAATTTTGTTTAAAAATACTCAATTAAGAAATTGTATGCAAATAAGTCAGTGTGTAGAAGTTTCATTTCCATGATAGTATGACTAAAAATAGTATGTTTGTTCCTATACACCGTATGTAAAGGTCTGAAATACATTATTCCAGTTTTCTGGCATTGAATTGAATGTTTAAAAGTCTGTATAATTCTGAAAGTGAGTAGACTTTCTGAAATATTTATGCAAAGTGCTCCTTTCAGGTAAGGGAAATAAGTGTTGTACAGTTTTTTTCCTTTGTTCCTTCCCTCTGCTCTGGTACCTGGGAAGGCATATTAGTGTTTTATTTCTTATCTCCTTCCTCATTGCCCTCTGACAGGTTTTTGATTGTCACCATTTTGCAGAAGTTACATCCTCTAAACTCTAGAGTATCTTTATCAAAATAAGGAATGCCTACTGTTCCATAGTCCTGCTCTCTGGAGATGTTTCCTTGTCCTTAGAACAGTGTGATGTAAACTATTTTATTTTTATAGCCTAGGTAATGTGTGTAAACGTTTTTTAATTTTTATTTTAAAGGGAAGTACATTATTATTCCAGTTCTTCTGAGAAAGTGCTATCCATTTGTCTTTGAGTCTTCAAATGGACTTGAAACAACGATCTTGGAGTGGGAATACATGTCCTGTTGCTCTGGCTGAAGTATAAAATAAAGTTGCAGCATGTAAAGTTCATATCATCCACATCACAGAAATATAGAGGAGATCAGAGGTGGGAATTAGATGATAGTAGGTAAAGAAATGTGAGGAAAAAACGTGGTAAAAATGGAGAAAGTGGACAGAAGTGAAGACTGAGAAACAAGAATAGCAGAAATAGTGATTAACAAGTAATGTCACTCAAAAGAATGCTAGAGCAGGTTTTTTTTTGTGTAACTCAAAAAAAACCCCCAAAAAATCCTAGCTCTCTATCCTACTGTGGCCAAGAAATGAAAATTACATAAACAGGGAAATATATATATGTATAAAATAGTTCGAATGTTCTTTCTGCCATCCTCCAAACACCTATAGCTTGAGGGCTTCCTTATCTGTAAGTGCCTCTGTGGTGATTTGTCTGTCGTGCCATTCTGGCCTGCATTTGAAGGGAAAATCTAATGTGCACCTGCTGCCACGTCAAAAGATTGTCCTCAGCGAGGGTAAGGATCAAGAGCTTTCTGACTACTTCAGAGCTCAATATTTTGATATATTGAGAATGTGGAAAAGGACCAGTCCTTGCTCAGAACTCTGAGAGTTCAATAGAAGAAAGGTGAGTTTGGCAGGTCTTTTCATAACAGTGCTTGGGTAGAGGCTGACTTTTTTTTGGGTTTATATGTTCACCTTTACAGATGAAGTTTG